AAAGAACTCATTGAGGAGTTCAGCCTTGTCCCCCCTGTCCGTCACCAATTGCTTATGCCCATCTAGTAGGGGTCCTATTCCACCCTGGGCCTTCCTTCCACTCCCTATATATCTAAAAAACAATTTTTTGTTATCCTTAACTTGGGATGCCATCCTCCCTGATGGCCTCTGACAGTCAGAAGCCTAATGGGTAGGTGACGCCCCTCCTGCCCGGTCTAATACCCATGGATAGACTTGTCCTGTGTGAACCGGGCCAGGCCTCTCTTGGCCCGTGTTAAATTGGCGACCTCTACAGGAGCTGGAGCCGCCGGGTCCCGCCAGGTAATTAGATGCTGCATGGAGGAAAAAAGCTGCCTTTGGTTTGTTTTAAACAGGCTTCCTAATAATTGGCCACTACATTCCCTGGAGCTAGTACTGTAAGAGGAGGTCCCTGGTGACTTTCTCCCTGCCATTCCTGATTTCCGAGGCCTCTTTCATACCCCGGGGGCGGGCAGGGAAGAGCCCTAGTGCTCCGCTGAGGGGAATGTGGGCTGGCACATCAGATGGGCCTGGCTCCCTTTGTGAAGTACAAGTGCTCCTGCTCTTTGTAGGATCGGTTCTTGCTGCATGCCTTTTCATGAAGATCCCTTCTTTGTCGGCCATCTTCGTGGTAATGGGGCAGATGCCATTAGTGGGTCTTCGGGTTGTCTTGCCTGTGGCCTTTGGACAGGCATCCGTGGCATGTCCCAAAAATACGGTCTTTCTGGTTCTTCGCCATGAAGCTTCTTTTCGGGAAGCATGGGCTGCGCTCCGAGCACGCAGGTAGGCAGATGTGCCTGCCCTGGCTTTTCCTGCTCTGTTGTTGTTTTAGGTTTGCATAAATGGAAAGTGCCAGGTAGAAGGCGTTCTGGGCTACGATTGCAATCCAGCAACAAAGTGCAACGGACACGGGGTAAGTTTGAGTAATGTTATTCCCATGTGACGGTGCCTAGTCTCGGCGGGTAAAGCGGCAGGTGGTTTCGGGATATGACCCCACGCTGCGATGCCTGGTAATGGGCTATGGCAGCAGTTTGGCCTGGCAGGTATGGCCAGAGCCTCTCCTGTGACCTATTAGATTCCCTAGGCTGCAGGTGAACGTCCAGTTCTCCTGAGACAAAGCACAGGCGGACAGATGCCCGTATCCTTTGTCCTGGGAGAAATCCTACAAAAGGTTCCTGGCTGAAAAAGCAGTCACAGGTTTTCCTAGGACACGGCAAAGGGTGCCTGCAGCCCCGGCACGGTGGCAGAAAGGCGGCACTGCATTCAGCCCCTCGCTGAACCCAGATTCGTCGGGCGATGCGTATACACGCTGGTCCTGGGATCCTTTTGTCTTGGGATATGCCCCCGCGTGACTTATCGAGGGACAAATGCAATGCCTGTTCCTAGCCGAAGGGGATTTAGGTGTGTAAGTGGAGTCGGGGTCCCCACTGCTGCGGGCCTAAAGAGCTAACTGGTGTGTCCTAGGGTGGCTGAGTCCCCTCCTGCCGGCTGTGTTTCCTGCCTTGGTTGAACCCCTGGTCCAAAAGGAATGGCCTGACCGGGTGGGCCAGGATCTCACTTGCGTTATTTGCATCACTTCCATTTGGCGCCTCGTAGGGGAAGTAAGACCTGGGCCACCTGGGCCTTGGTGTGCCCCTGCCAGGTGTACGCAGAAAGGGAGTGGGACCAGTTTGACTGGCCCGGGATGCCTGCCGAAAGTAGAATGATAGGCAGGGCTGTTCCGCATGACCTAGAGAAAATCGGATGGCTCCAGACTAGGGGAAAAAAAGGGAAAGGCAGCTAAATGGTGAATGGCCAAGCAGCAGGGAACTGTTTAGACCTAGCCCATCAGAGGTAACAGAGGTGGGAGGGGGCTGACTGAGGGAGGGGACGGGGCACGGGGGACATGGAGAGAGTCCCCAGAATCTAGTTTCGGCCATGCCAGTGGGCTGCTGGGGTCCCGGCCAAGCCAGGCCACCCGTCCCGTGCGTGCGTCACGTCAGTAGGAGCAGGGCTGCCCACCTGCTTTCCGCGTGGGGGTGAATGTCTGACTACTGAGCACGTGGTCTCAAGCATCCGGGAGAGTGTGTAAGGGGCAGGTCCTCTCGCACTGACGGCCCAGGTGGTCATTTGCAGGGGCAGGGTTGGTCCTGTGCCTGGGTAGGAACGGGAGGGTGACAGGGGCACTGGGGAGCTTACCCTGGAGCGACTGGCCATGTTCACCTCGGAGGAGAACTGTTGTCATGGGGTAATAACATTGCTGTCTCCCCTCTGTGTTAAGGTGTGCAATAACAAGAAAAATTGCCACTGCGATCCTGGCTGGCAGCCTCCAAATTGCCAAACCAGAGGATCCGTGCTAGGCGGAAGCATCGACAGCGGACTTCGCTTTTTGGGCTCTGGTGAGTGCTCTGACCTGATTTGGCAAAGCCAGTGCCCTGGGCCCCAGCAGCCTGGATTTGGTGCTCTCCTCTAAGGGGAGGAGGAAGGGGAGCAACAGATCTGCCACGGGCACCTTCGAGGAGCCTACGAAACCTCGGCGATTAGTAACGTGGGGCCTAATTCTGCTCTTTGTGATTCCTGAGAGACTCTGCGGCCGTTGAGAACCAAGCCTGGCTGGTTGCTAGTTAGTGAGTAGAAGGAGCTACCATGGTCATTCAGGTAGCCGGGTACTGAGCCCTTGCTCAGCCTCCCGCTACGATGTCAGACTTTGAGGGCAAAGCTGCAGCCCTTTTGAGGTCTGGGCAGGCCTGTGTCTTGTGAAGATGTGCCTGTGATCCCGGCACCCGGTCCGCTTGAATGGGCGCTGCTAGCCTGGCAGGATCACTGCCGCAACTGTTAAAATACCTAAGAAGCAGAGGTGGTGTAGGTGGACATTCTGTAGCGTGCAAAAGTAGTCGTGAAACGTAAGCCACGGCCTGGTTGTCTGACCTGTTAAGACTAGGGGAAATAACACACCAGTCAGAAGAGGTGCACGTGGGGGAAAACCCTGCAGCTGAGCCGTAATGGGGCACACATTGGGAGCTGGGTAACCCACCGGCCCTGGGTAGCTGCCTCAGACTTGATGACGCCAGGCTCAGACCTTCCACGTCTCACGCCGTCCACGTCTCACACCGTCGGGTGCATGAGGCACTTGATCCCTGCCCCCCAACCCAACTTTGGGCCAGGTCCTTTCATGTTTTCAGGGTATTGGTGGGGAAAGCAACCGGGTGAGGCTCTATCAGTCTGGAAGGGGTCCCCCTCTCCCTGTTGTGCCTTTGGGGTCTGGCACTCTCCAGACATGGCCCAGGCTGCTCCCCCTGGCTGGTAGTGCAGCGGAGTAGGCCCAATCGCAGCAGTCTGTCCGACCGTCGTGCTCGGATTGTCCCGCGACGGTCACCAGGCTGAAAGTTGTTTCGCGCCATTTGCCTGGACACGTTGATTGCCTGGCACTGCTGTCAGGGAGAAAAAAATGACATGGTCTTAAAGGAATCGAGTGCCTGGATAACTTTTTGTAAGAGATGACTATTGCTGTCCTGGGAAAAGAGGCAGCGCAGAGGATCGGGGGGTGGCAGCTGTGTGAGACCCGGTGTCCGTGTGCTCTCTCTAGATGATGCCCTGGAGCGAGCTGCCCAGAGGACGATGAAGAATTGGCTGGTGCTGGGCTTCTGCCTCTTTCTGCCTGTCCTTGTCGGCGCTGCCCTCATGGTTGCCAAGCGGAAGGAGCTCAGCCAGCTGTGCGCCGAGGAGGAGTCCCAAGGCGATGAGGAGTAAATGCATTTTGGTGACCTTGTAGATCCCCACCCTGCTGTTTGCAGGGAGGCTGTTTGCAACCAACTGTGGGCTCTCTCCACGGTTCCTGCCTCGGCTCTCTGCACCCCCGCACCCCCCTTCTCTGCCCACGCCTGTGGTGTAAGGCCAACAGCAGCCTCCCACATGGGCCAAGGCAGCCTCCTGGACTAGCGGGGCAGAGGGCTCAGCACCCCGTGAGCAGGCCCGCTCAGAGGACTAACGGCGCGGGCTTGCCAAGCCCTGGAGCCCTGCCAGAGCGTGGCGGGGGGGGAGCGAGTGCTTCTGTCCCCAAGCCCCAGCTGGCTTTGCCTAAGACGCAGCCTGGGTGCAGGCTTTGCCGGAGGGGCTCGGTGAGCACCCAGCGTGGCGGCATGGGGCACCCAGGGGAGACTGACCCCACGGACGTACCGCAGAGCCCGCGCTGCCCGGGGAGGGGGTTGAGGCCCCCAGGCGGGAGCCGGTGCCGGGGGGG